CTCGCACACAAGAATTTCACTCACATGTACTGTACCAATGTACCTGCACATGTGATGTGACAATAAAAAGTGATTTGATTTGATTTGATATTTCAGCCTTTCAAGCAGAACGTGATGGTAAGCTGCATCAAAGGCCAACGTGAGGTCCAACATCAGCAGAACAGAACATTTTCCCGCATCGTTTTGCATCAAAATGTCACTGGAAACTCTAAGAAGGGCTGTTTCAGTAGAATGAGCTCTGCGTAAGCCAGACTGAAATTTGTCAAGAATATTGTGTTTATCCAAAACTGCTGTAAGCTGCTTAGCCACAACCTTTTCACTGAATGTATCACAAACCTACTGATTGGCAAAATCATGGTGCGTTCACTGACCTGCTCCCAGCCCTCCGTGCTCTGCTGGGTACTGCACCGAGAGGCTGAGCTGCAGGCCCACCTGAGTCTTGCCGGTGCCACTCTCTCCAGCCAGCTCAGTGATGCCCCCCACAGGCAAACCGCCCCTCAAAAGGCAGTCCAGAACTGGACAGCCGAGCCTGAGCTGGGCGCCAGACACGCCGTGCTGCAGCTGCTGTGCTGAACACATACACACACACACACTTGGTTAATGCATGATATCACATCACACAGTGCGTCCAGTAAGACTCTTCTCCTGACCTGTGATTGGAGGGTGCCTTCTGCAGACGGCAGCGGCAGCAGTGATCAGCTGCTGGACATCAGAGTTGGACAAACCGGTGAGTCTCTGCAGGTCTGGAGCAGAAGCACAAACCACATCCTTCACAGACTTTAGCTGAACTGCAGCAGGAGAAGCACAAGTGGTTACCGTGGAAACAATGGAAACAACCACAAAAAAAGGAAGTCCAAGCAATTCATCACATCTCTGAATCTTTGGTGTTCACTGTCTAATCTGTAATAATTTGAATGGATTCTTAAAAAGAGCCAGCTGTCTCAGCTAATTACAGGCCAACCTCTAACCTTCCTTTCATCTTAAACATTCTTGAAAGAGTAGTTGTCAAACAGCTAACAGATCATCTGCAGAGGAATAGCTTATTTGAAGAGTTTCAGTCAGGTTTCAGAGTTCATCACAGCACAGAAACAGCTTTAGTGAAGGTTACAAATGATCTTCTTATGGCCTCTGACAGTGGACTCATCTCTTTGCTTGTCCTGCTAGACCTCAATGCAGTGTTCGATACTGTCGACCATGATATCCTATTAGAACAATTAAGAGGATGCTGTAGGTATTATGTAGGACTGCTTTCTTCCATTTGCGCAATATCTCTAAAATTAGAGCTACCCTGTCTCAGAGTGATGCTGAAAAACTAGCTTATGCATTTATTACTTCTAGGCTGGTTCATTATTATGAAGATGTAGCAAAAACTCCCCGAAAATACCTTCAGTTATTTCAAAATGCTGTAGCAAGAGTACTGACAGGGACTAGAGAGAGAGAGAGATTAGTCTACACAGTTATAATATTTGGAATAACAAGGATATCCTATATAAAGAAAACTTTTTTCTTAGATAGTTGGTTTAGGAACAACATTATTTTAGTCAACCAATTATTCGATTCAAATTGTATGCTTTTCTCATATGACGAATTTTGTCTACATTTCAATTTAAGATAAGATAAGATAGAACTTTATTAATCCCTCGGGTGGGTTCCTCTGGGAAATTCGAT